GCCGCGCCCACCTGAGCCGTTCGATCCGAGCGATCGAAACTCCGACGCCCGCAGATGGATCGCCGGGATGGAGATCTACTTCGCAGCCGTCGGATGGAGCTCGCCAGTCTGGGACGGTCAACGCGTACGACTCGTGGCAACGCTGATGTGAGGATTGGCACTCGAGTGGATTGGCGGCAACAGTACCTTCATCCACGGTGAAGCCACGTAGCAGCAGTTCCGCGCCGACCTGCTGAAATGCTTCGAGCCGATAAATTCCGGTTTCCTTGCCCGGGAAAAAAATCATCGCCATCGACAGTTCAGGCGTGTAGCGCAGTACACGCAGCAGATGGAGGAATTTTATATCCGAATTCCCGACCTGACCGAAGGGGAAAAAGTACAATCGTACCTCGCCGGGCTGAAGACCGAAGTCAAACGCCAGGTAGCAGCGTCAAACTACGCGAGCTACAGTGACGTCGTTTCGGCAGCGGAGCGCTTCGACATGGTCAACGCCGGGACACGACAGACGCACGTCGGCAGTACGCGACAGGGCGACCGCTCGGCTCACCCCACGTTCGCCGACCCGATGGAAGTCGACAGGTTCGAAGGACGGCCACGTCCAATAAACACCAACTACACGTGTGATTTTTGCGGGGTGCCGGGTCATCGAATCTTCGACTGCAACAAAATGAAAGCCGCACGCGCAGAGTATCGGGCATGCAACAGTGGCGGAAATCCTTCGGCCAATCAAAAGCAAAAAAACGGGACTCGCCAGTGATTGCGGATCTAGCTGGCGAAAAAGAAAAGTTTCGGAAGCAGCCGCGGGATTCCAGAAAAATCAACTTCGACGCAGCTGATTCGTCGCGAACAGGAGAAAATGATGGGGAAAAATCTCCACCCCACAACCAGTCTTCGCCAGGGAAAATCGCCGAGAAAAAATCCGACTCCGCGTAAAAAGACTCTACCGAGACAGGGAATCTCCTTGAAGACCCAAGAAATTATCAGGATTCGTAAAAGCTATCCTATAAAGATGCTTTAATGAAAACTTGTAATTCTCGAGGGGCTAGAGCCTTGGAGTAAATTCGGGAGGGACTCCAGAAGAAGCAGAAAATTGTGGAGATCATACCGGTACCGGAAAACTCGGGGACCAAATTAAGGAGTGTGGAAAGAAGCCGACCTTTCCACGGAGTCAACGTCCTCTCCCGACACCAGCCCACATCGACTACCCGTTCCCCAGGGAAGACGTCGGTGGAGCTGAAGCAGCTCAAGAGGAAGCTGGGGGTCTACAAAACGCTGCAAAAACCCCGAACTCCTTCTCCGGATGCATCCAACTCGGCAACTTCGTCAACGACGCGCACAGTCGTCAAGGAAACTCTGGGCCCTGGAGAAGAGTCGTTCTCCAAGCAGCCTTGGCCAGCTGCCAACTCAGGAGTAGGAAGCAAGGAATATTGGGGTGTACCCTATGAGCCTATCAATGAAACTATCTTTGGGTACTCCGAGCAATGCCTGCCACTCGTGCTCGAGGTCATCAGCAAAGGACGACGCCTCCAAGCACTCGTGGACAGCGGAGCATCGCACACCGTCTGTGACAAGGCAGTAATCGACCGACTTCGGGATGAGTACAAGCCTTCAAGATTCTCTACAACGATGGTGGACGGCAGCAAGTTACCAGTGCACGGCGAAGCAGTGTTACACCTACAAATCGGACCACTGCGCTGGAGACCTGCACTCCCCATCACCAACATCAAAGGGCTTGACCTGATCTTCGGGCGAGACTTCCTCAAAAGATTCAACCCCGAGATTAACTGGGTGAACCGCACCGCAAGCATCTACAACAAAGGAAGGAGAGTCCAACTACCCAACTGGGATGATACAGGAGATATCCCAGTGGAGACACTCGCACGATTCGAGAAGGACGTAAAGCGAACCGACACCAGATTCCTGGCGATAGCAGCAGAGGTGGAGAACGACGCGTCTTCGATATTCTTCGACGAGAACGCTTCTACGTCAAACTATCCAAGAGCGACTTCGCCCTCGAGAAAGTCCAGTTTCTCGGACATATCGTAAGCGCTCAAGGAGTTCACGTCGACCCCAAGAAAATTGAGGCCGTACGTAAAGGAAGACACCCGAGAACGTGAAGGAGTTACAGCAGTTCCTTGGCTTTGCTAACTACTACAATAGGTTCGTGCCGCAATACGCGAAGATCGCCATGCCACTCACGAATCTGCTAAAGAAGAACACGCCCTATAAATGGGAGCCACAACACCAGAAAGCCATGGAGCAGCTGAAACAAGCACTCACGTCCGCACCTGTACTCATCTTGCCCGACCCCGAACGCTACTACGTTATCGAAGCTGACGCCAGCGACCAGGCAGTGGGAGCAGTCCTGATGCAAGACCAGGGGAATGGACTGCAACAAATTGCCTACCTCAGCAAAAAATTACATGGAGCAGAACTCAACTACCCGATACACGACAAGGAGGCCCTTGCTATCACCATCACCTTCAAAACATGGAGATGC